ACTTACTGTAAAAGAAAATGTCAATGTTTGTTGAAGAAGTTCAAACATGTCAATTGATCTCTTTTTAGTCCTTTTTCATGGCTTATCTCGCTGATATATCTACAAATCTATCTAGAAAGTCTAGAAAGTTTTAAAACGCCAATTCATCTAAGCTAGAAGGTACTAAACCATAAGATTTTTGAAAGTTTTATTTTTAAAGTTTGAAAAACATTTTGCAAAAATACCGGCTAGGCATCTTGCTGAGTCAATTGTACTTTGAACTCTATCGCGCAAATTTAAAAAGCATGCCAAAATCCTTTTTTCACAACTTATTTTCCCGCCTTGATCTAAGATATTCATCTTTGGTGAGTAATATAAGCTTAATGATAAATAAAAAAATCCGAACATAACATTTCGTGCCCACTACGAGAACGAACGGCGATCAGATGTACAAGGCGATAAAAGTACGCCAAGAATGACATGTAATTTTATTACACTTTATATATATATCATTTACAATAATTTCTAAATGGTGGTTCGTTTGAAATATTGCAAAAAATATTTTGTAATGCTATGCAAAGTCTTTTTCGCTTTCTTTTTGTCTTCAACATGATCAAACGTCTCACGAATATTCACATCTTCACTTCTACTTACTGTAATTAGACCTAGTGCATGGCGATAGACTACTTCATGTTTTTTCTTTTTGTAGTTTTAGCATCTTGTAGACGCTGAACTCAGGCATTTTAGTTTAAAAATTTCCATCAACTTTACACTTGAATTGTTTCTTCTATTTTTCTGTGTCAAAAGGTCACAACAAATGAGCAACCAATGAAAAGTGAGAAAAATCTTAGCCAATCAAAATCCATATTTGACCGGCCGATGCCAGGGCTATCTCTGGGCGCAGAGTAGCCCTGGGAACGAGGTTGACATTGAGGTCAGCTTCTGCATTATCCGTAATAAAGGTTGATATTAAGTGAGACCTCACATCAATAACACAGCTTAGTTAGTAGCCAATAGATCTAGGGATATTGACAAGTGCTGGGTGTTTAAATTTGGGTGTTTCAAAGTTGGTCAATGGCAGAGGTAAATTTTGCTTTGCAGACCCTCATTCTGGAGAGCTCAGAAGAAAAATTCCGAAAAAAAGTTTAAAAGTTCTGACATTTATTATGAAAACCAAGGAAGCTTTAATTGGTTGAGAAATCCTAGCCTCCTCCGCTGGCAACTCTACTCACTTTTGGCTTTTTGGGCTTCCTGTGGCGAAAAAAGGCTTTTGAGGGCCGGGGACCCAGTCCCCTCTCCTCAGGATAACAAAGGAAGACCACAGAGGAAGATACAAGGGTTGCCTGCGGAGGAGGCTAGAGAAATCCATACTTTTATTATGTTGGAGAACATCGTTTTTTATATTAGAAACTTGCTCTGAACCCCAATTTATTGTAGCCTCAGTGCCATCTGACAAAAGTGCATTGAAACTCTTCTTTGCTGTAAAAATTATCTACATCCATTTTGGCTGTGGGTTCCCTCTTCCTCCTTTCAGTGGCTTAGACTTGTAGTTATGACTAACTGCATGTTATGCAAAACCACTGCAAAACACAACTGGTATTATTTCAATTTGAATTTATTAATATCAAGGATCACAATGTTGCCTTCATGGAGACAAGTGCAAAAACAGGACTCAATGTTGATTTAGCATTTATGGCTATTGCAAGGTAAGGCATAAACCACRGCCAACTAGAAATGATGGATTACTTATAACAAGAAGTGAAAGATTGATTGAATCTGCAAATTTTGCTGAGAAAAATTCCTTGTTTCCTCAAGAAAAATCACCTTCCACTAGCTCTTCAAATTATATTTCGTCAATTAAAAACATCAAAAGTCCAAAAAAAAAAAACCGATTGAAAAATGAACAAGCCTGCCCTGGAAACTCCATATCCCACCTCCCCGCGGTTAAGTCACAAACCCTTCAAAACCTGTTTTTTGGATTGTGATGTTTTTACAGAACCTGCATACCTGGTTAGGTAGGTTTAATTGTTTGGTAGAGCATCTTTTTTAACTCGAAGATTGCAAAGCAATCGAAGAGTTATTGGAGAGGGACAAATCTGTCACTCACTCAATCACTCAGTCACTCACTTTCCTGTAAACTTGAGCCTGTATTAGCTGTGTTCAGAACTATTAATTTATTCTCATTGTTTTCTAGTAATTTACTCATTAATTTACTGTTACCGGGTTCCCTGTTCTATATTTGATTGTATTTATTTATTTTTTGGCAAAAAAGAAATTTAAAGAAATGTCAGCTCCTATGAGTCTCGAACCTCAAACCTCTGAATTAGAAATCGAAAGCACTCGGCCACGTATACCAATGTTACATAATTATGCTGTTAGACTTGTCTTTGAAGTGCAGGTGCTCGCCCCTTGTTGTCAAGAATAAAAGTTAAAAATAATAGATTTAAACAAAAAAGAAAACTGTATTAATAAATCGTTCACTTAAAATTCTATTTGTAAAGTAATTATGCTGGTAATTTGATTCGTCATACCATTCGGCATTCACAAAGGTCTAAGTAAGCAAAGAAGACTGGTCGATCCTCGAAATTCATTTCGAAAATGACTGTACGAAGGTGCTGGACCATGCTTATTGGGAATCCAAGTTAATATTAAAATGAAACAATGAAGGCTCTGTCGTAGTATTTTCCAGCTCTAGGGAGCTCGCAATCAAAGGAACTTTTTCTTGCACTCCTTATACATCAACGTCAACGTCATCATACATCAACACGGTAGGAGTTCGAAAAACACGAGAGAAGCAAGCTTAGGAACACGAGCGTAGCGAGCTTTATATTTCTTTTATAGAATTTTTCGAGCGAAAAGAAAATTTTGCCGGTAAGCCGTGTCTCTGTCCTTTGATATAAACACGGTCGTCAGCCAATCAGCGCGCGTTATATATCAAAAATTTTAAAATGTTTTGTAGAGCATCTATTTTTTGTCTATTGTTTTCTAAACCAATCACGAGATTTTCTTTTTATTGTTTGGTTGAGCATCAGCTATTGTTATCCATTGTTTTCTAAACCAATCACCAGATATGCTTCATACAGTGACGCCCCCCCCCCCCCTGTATTTGAAATCACACAATGACCAGTCTAACTGTGTTATCTTTCCACCAGGGATATCAAATACAGAAGAAGCAGTAAYGCAGCTGATCCACAGTTCAATCTTGAGCAATACGTAGAATTACAGCGTGAAAAACCTAATTGTTGCTCATAGCAATGACTGAG